ATCCCAGCTATCACTCCACCCTATTCCTACCCATTGATCCTTTCAGCCATCCACCTGTCCATCCACCACCCATCCATTCACTCCTCTCTATCCCAGCTATCACTCCACCCTATTCCTACCCATTGATCCTTTCAGCCATCCACCTGTCCATCCACCACCCATCCCTGTACTCACCTGGCCATTGAGCCAGCCAGCCACCTTTTGGTCTAACCCATGCACCCATCACTCCCTCCATCCACCTCCACCCCCATCTCCATCCTCATCAACGTCCTTGGTGCACCAAAGTCACGAAGGTGCTCTGAAAGCTGCCATAACCTCAGCTGCTTCCTGCCCTGAGCCAACCAGGTCTGCACTGAGGACCCTGCCTATGGGGCAGCCTCCTCCCAGCACCCAGCCCTGGTCCAAACACCTCCAGTGACAAAGACGGCCTCACTACAGGCAGTGTGGGCAGCTTGGCCCAATAGCCTAGCAACAGCCAGCCCACCCAGGGCCAGCCTGGAAAGCGCACTGGCCAAGAGACTCACTGCAGCCTCCTGCACACCTGCCTCAGGCTCTGGGCACATTCCCTGGCAAGAGTGGACCTATAGGGCAGGGCCTGCCCTCTCTCCCTTGTTTCCAGGGGTCACCTCGTGAGGAAGTGTCCCAGGAAAAGAGGGTGAGGTGGGGGAAAGAAGCTAGTATCCCCACCTCCTGGCCTGGTGCCCACTCCTCACTGACCAGGGCTCCTAGTCTGCCTTGCCCGGGTCCCACCGCCTCCTCCTCTCCAGGGCTCACAGGATTGGAGGTAAACCCTAAAGATCCGAATCAGGTCCATCTAAGAACAGAACTCTGCGCAAGCTGAGTTGGGCTGAAGGTGGGGTGATCCCGGGACCCCCAGAGGCCCAGTCACAGGCTCCCTGCAGCACCCTCCCCAAGCCAGGGCTCCCGTCCACTCACACTGCCCTCCACACCATATGGGCAATGTTTCCAAATGGCGCTGGGAGCAAGGCAAGGGCACATGGACAAGGCAGGAGCCGTGGACTCCTGGGGACTGTCTGTCCCTCTGCACAACACCTGCACTGTTCCCCCAAGGTTCCAGAAACCTCCGTGTTGCATCCTTTCTATTCCTTTCACTTCAGTTCAGCTGGCTCCCAGCACACCTTCCCGAAGAGCCCGCGTTGTGGTCAGTCACTGTTGGGGCTCAAGCTGGAGCCCGCCTGTTACCAAAACGGAGGCATCGCACCCATCGCTTATCACCAGGCAGCCTCCAGCCTGCCCCATCCGTCCTCCGCGGCCAAGAGGTGGGCCGGTGCGCGCTAGGCCCGAGATACATGAAGAGGGCACCCGGGCGGGGTCGCATTCATTTTCTGGTTTCACTTCTTTGTTTATTCCCGCAAAGAGTGGTACTGGGATGTTGGGCTGTGTCCCTACAAAGGGGTCTTTGCCGCACAAAGCCCGTACCCACGCAGTTCTCGGCCCCTACCTGGGTGCTATGTGGGGACCGTGGCAGGCCCCCCTCATGTCCCTCTAGTGTTCTGTCCTGTGACCTGTGGATGCTGTAAGACATGCTGATTCAGGTGGCGTCGGTTAACTCTGTATCCGTGTAATAAAAGGAACTTGACCATCACGTGGCTATGCCCCTCCTTGTCTTTCAGGCGATTGCAGGCAGACCCTGCCCACATTTGAAAGAGTGGCCCCTGTGCTTGTGGGGCTCAGCCGCTGGCAGGGAGATGGACAAGCAGACACGGGGCACCATGTTGGGGTATGAAGAGGAAGGGAGCAGGCACCTCTTCCTGTGGTTCTTGGCTGTTTGTTGGGGACACCTCAAAGACCATGTCCTTGAGGTCTGGACCACCTCTGAGCTGGCCTTCAGGGCCTGGAGCGTGTCTGCTGGTTCTGAGCAGTGCCAGAACCTCATCCCATCAGACCTCATGCCATGAGACCGAAGAGCCAAGGTGTCGCCATCGGGGCGGCCAGCAGCGGGGAGCACTGCCCAGGACCAGCTGCGGGACTCCATGTTCTCCGTGCCGGGGTGGGAGGAAGGGGCTGTTATTAATACCCAGCCGAAGCTTGGAACTTGGTGCCTTCTGAAGGCATCATTCGGAAGGACAAGAGAGGGCGAGCCTGTCCCCATGCCAGGCGCTGGCTGGAACCCCAGCTGGGCCTGCATGCCAGCAGACTCAGGACAGACAGGCATGACGCCGTGTTTCCATCCCAGAGGCTGGGCCAGGGAGCTGGGCCCAAGGCCATCGGCAGAGGAGGCCCAGCCCAGACAGTGGCACCCCGAGCTTGTCCAGTCTGCCCCGGCAGAGGCCCTATCCTCAGCGTACGCAGAGAGACGCAGGCTGTGCTTGTGAGGTGCTCCGGTTGGCTAGGAGGGTCCTGGGAATAAGCAGCTTGCCACAAGGAGGTCCAGGCACCACTGCACCTCAAGGGAGGAGGAACAATCCAGGTGGGCTGCCTGGAAGCAGCAGTACAGACTGCCATGGAAGTGGGCCCCTGGTGTTATCCTCATGTAACACATATGGAGGAAGCGCTGGTGGCGCAGTGCCTAAAGCATTTGACTGCTAACCAGAGGGCTGGCAGTTCAAACCCACCAGCCACTCCTGAGAAGGAAGGTTGGGCAATCTACTTCCATAGAGATACTGCCTCGGAAACTCAAGGAGGGGTCGCTATGAGTCAAATCTGACTCAACAGCAATGAGTTGGGTTTTTTTTTTTTTTTTTTTTTTTTGGTTAACATACGTGGATGGTGGAAATTCATGACAAGCAGGCGTTGCAGCCAGAAGGGTGTGGAGGCCTGTGTGGGCTCAGCTAGACTCACCTTTTCCTTCTGTTTGGGTGGAGCTGGGGGCAAGGGCACAGATGCGAGGTCAGCCTTGGAGGCAGAAGCTTCTCTGGACCCTAGTGTGGCTCAGCCAGGCTTCCCCAGGCCTGGAACAGCAGTGACAGCATCCAGGACCCCCAATCCCTGCCGTCCACACCCTTGACCCTCAGGGATAGTTCCACCAGGGCTGCAGTCCATCTCTTTGCTTCCTCAATTCAGAATTCCCAGGGAAGAGCCTCTAGTCGCCCTGACTTAGAAAATCGACGGTGGCCAGGAGGGAAGATTCAAGAGGAGAAGCTCATCAGGGCTGTGGTTAGGAGGAGGGGCCTGTGTCCTAAACACAAGGACCATCAGCCAGTGGGCAGACCCAGGCACCCAGCCCACACAGCAGGGCCCGGGAGTGGGTGCAGCCTTCTCTGTGCAGCAGGAGGGACAGCCAAGGAGACGGAGCTGGACACACAGAGGCAAGGCGGACACAGAGGAGCAAGTCAGGAGAAGGCAACCACTCAGGGAAACAACAAAGGAGCCACAAAGCTAGGCTGACCCAACCCAGCCCAATTCACTGCTGTAAGTCTATGCTGACCCACAGCGCCCCTAGAGGACAGAGTGGAACTGCACCACAGGGTCTCCAAGGCTGTCAATCTTCACAGAAGCAAAGCCCCAACCACACCCA